ATTGTCTACCCAGGCGCAGGGTAACATTCATTTCACTCCTAGAAACCCAGCCAACCTCAGTGTCAATTTAAAAAAAAAAGCAGCCCACTATCTCGTTATAGAAAATTATCTCGTATTTATGAGAAGAGATCTGGTAATTACGAGAATAGATTCTTAATTTATTTATAGTATTCTTTTTTCTCTGAATACATTAAAATCTGCAGAATTTCCTTGTTTTGGATTACTGAGCTATCACATATTTAGAAAATATTCAGCTGGTACATTTTTTAGCAATCCAAACGTTTTTAAGACTTTTCATAGTTTCTGCAATCCGATTCTACACGGATATTTTTTTTCTTGTACATTTTACGAGTTAATTATTTACGTAATATTACGGGAATATTTTCTCGTTATAATGAGATATTTTCTCGTAATAACGAGATTTTTTCTTGTAATAACGACATATTTTTCCGTAATAACGAGATAATTTTCTCGTTATTAGGAGATAATTTTAAGAGAAAGTGGGTTTTATCTTCTTTTTTTTTTTTACTTGATACTACAGGCTTTCGTAGTTAACAATGGTTTTCTCGGAGTGAAAATTTTCAATGTTGGTGCTATCACCTAATTTGTGGGAAGGTAGTTTTTATTTACAATTTACATATATATGTATAATTACGCTAATTGTTATCTAAAAGAAATGTTATGCAAAAAAAAAAAAATTAATTGTTTAAGGAATTCAATAAAACGAAGGTATATTAGAATTTGTTTAAGCGGGTATTGGCAATTGTTGAATTTTTAAAATACACTCACATTAGGTAGAACATTTGAAAATCCAACTCAAACAAATAATCAGTAACTTTTAAAATATTACATCAATAACACGTATATTTTACACAGTTTTTATTTTAAAAAATAAGTTGGCATCAAGATTCTTCATAAAGCAATTGCTTTTCACATGCAGTTACTGGTATATTGAAAAATGGGGAGAGTGAAAAAGAGAAATACAATCTTTTTCATAGGTTCCAGGAAAATGTAGCTAAAAATCAATTACTGTTGTCTGTTCTGTAGGTCAGCCGAATTAGGGAGATGACTGTCTAGTCCGAGTTTACAGAGAACAGGATTTTCTGTTACTGACACACCGGAATCAAACACTCATAGAATTTGGTGAAAATAAGCACATGGTCAAAACATGGTTTTTGCTATTATTAACACTAGCCAACTTATAAATATTTTCTAATGTAGTTTCAGCAAAAGGAAGGCATATTCATACAGTTCCCATGCATTGGTTTGGAATTCTTCACTTCTTTAATATATTCATTTTGTTTGCTTGTATACAAACACAAAAAGAAAACTTTAAAAAAAACAATACAAAACAAAACTCTGAGTGAATTGATCAAAACTCAATAACATGTCAAGCGTTTAAGGTGGGTGCGCCAAATATCCATTTTGAAAATTTGGGGTTCTGGAGTGATATAAAGAAAACGTTGAATGCGGCTATTTCCAATCTTGCCACAGTATCCACGAATTGACAGTGTTTACCAAGTGCAACCTTGGAATAGAAACAGATGCGTTGTGTAGTAAATCTCCTGTGATTTGAAGCCAAAAAGATGCAAACATTATTCGATATTGCCAGACAGGAAGCGCCACCATTAGAGTATTGTAAATCATTCCAGTTGGAAGATTTACATGCTGGTAATGGTTACAATTCTTTTGGAGAAAGGTAAACTAGATTTAAGAAAATGCCTGTAATGAACCGATTTAAATGGTTTATTTATACTTGATGAACCCACATACTTGTAGGAGCTTTCACCTATATATATTTACAATAAAATAAACTGAGTGTATATTCACACCATGTTTAACTGAGTTGATTTAGCATCGAGAAACTATAAACTAAATCAAGCTTTACATAAAGAATGGAGGCGTACAAGGCGACGACAATCCCTCGCGCTGAGAAGACATTTCTAAATTCTGAAAGCTGTGAAAAGTTATACGAACTTTTCCAAAAATTGTATCGTCAATATCATCTTTTACACATTTGCTTCATTTTATTGAATAACTTACTGATAAATAATATATTTTTTCACTCATGTTTTTAAGGTAAGTGAAAAGAATAAAAACAAGAAGCCCATGGGCCACAATGCTCACCTGAGTAGCTAATGGCCCTTCTGTTCTTAATCAGCAGATATTCCTCTGTAAAATTAAGATAATATATTGTGGCTCTTACCTATCCTCAGCCCCATCCTACCCTAGTTGTCCTGATTTGAACAAACTTGTGTATAGCTTTCGGATCAGGTGAGCTAAAAAGAGCTTCACACAGGATTCGAACTCTCTTCAAAGCTACGGTTAGGCGTAAGACTGAATACGTTAACCAATATGCTACGAGTCTTCTTGTCATCGGCGTGTGTCAGTCTGCTTAAAAAAAAAAAACAAATATTTTTTTTTCCAGAAATTTTCGATCTTCATATCGAATGGGTTCAGACTCCATTTTTTTTTTACTTTATTTTATTTTTATTATTAGTATTTATTTTTTTGATTTATTTTGAAATTTGCATTTACTTTTCTGTCACTGTAACCGTTAATGTAGATTGGAGACTTGACCCACTTATATTAAAAACTCATTTTTTATGGCTCCAATAAACCCATTTTCCACTACATATATGCTTAACTGTCAACTTTAAAAAACAAATTATCAATCAACAAGTCATTCAATAAAATAAATGAATCAAATGTGTTGAAGATGACATTACTGACAATATAGTTAAAAAGAAAAAAAATTCCGTGAGAAATATAATGTCTCAGGGCGGGGGGGGGGGGGGGGGTTGTCATCGCCTTGTGCGCCCCCTCCTTTTGAAAATTTACTCCATTAATTATAGTTTTCAACCGAAAACCCTTTAGTTTATCAAATGCAAAACTTTTCGTTTTGTTTTGAGAAATTGGACTATGTGCCATACTTTTCGTATATGTATGTAACCCCCACCCCATTTTATGTCGGAGAAGCTAATGCAGTTTGACTTAATTCTGCAATTAAATATAATTTTTTCTTCTTTTCGATGAATTAATAATGAATTACTGATAACAATAATTGAATAGATCAACTAAATTAAAAGAGATCAAGGAGTCAATTTTACAAAGGCTCGATTTAATTTTTGCAAGCAATAATTCCACCTTTGTTGAGCTGAACAATTGAAATTGCGTACGCACATCAAATCTATAGGCCTATTTGCTCTCATCAATTCAACTGATCCTCTCAATAATTGAATTGAGGATATCTTCAAATAATTTTACCTTAAAAGTTGATGTTTTCTTATGATACAATGACTTATGTTTGAGTTGAAAACATAAATATAAAAACTATTTACATTTCCTCAATTTTCATGTTTTCATTTAGTCAAAAAGGGCCAAAATTAGCCAAGTTCAATGGATCAGTCTCCATGGCAACCGGGTGCACGTGTGAAATTTCTGACACCATATTTGGTAGTTTCTATCCAAGGTGCATCTGTGGTGTAAATTTCATCAAAATCGGAGAGATGCTTACAGAGAATGCATTTTAATATCTTCAATCATATAAGTTTATGTTAATTTGGCGCTCGGCTACATAAGTAAGTCGGTCTCTTAATCCCCCCCCCCCCCCCCCGAATTTTACTACTTCTGTTAAATTAGTTATGGCTACACATCTTGCACACCAAATTCAACGATCTATTCAGAGTTTTGCATTAAATAATCTTTAACCTTTTTAGGTAACATAATCATTATATTCCACTGTGAATGTAAGCCAATTTCAACTATAGTTTTAATAATAGATATGCAAGTTTTATTTGTAAGACAATATTTTCTCAAAGATTCCTGGGAGGCAAACACTATAGTTAATGAAGTCGTACATGTTAATATTGTCAATAATTATAACAATTAAGTCCTGGTTACACCTTCACAACCAAATGAATTCGACACAAATAGTTGGAATGATGTCTTGTTTTCTATTTCCTTATCATGGGAAGACAGGGGTTTCAGATTATTGAAACAAACATGAGGTAAATGTCTACATCAGTGTACAGCAAGATATATAATTTATATAAACTGGTTATGAGTTTATCAACCCATGTGGGCATTACTATTTCTTATTACACATAATTTGGCTTTAAAATGTCTACAAAATGAGGAAAGGATGTATAAACAAAGGGGAAAAAATGTAAAACTCTATTTTACAAGATCGTCCATATTTTCTACAATAGCTTGTGAAATTGTTTGCATGGTATATCACTTTGCATTATCTATAGTGGCGCTCTTCGAAAGTGCAAAAAATAAACTTAGAAGTACCAAAAATGGTGACTGAAAAAAAAGACAAAATATTCTTACTCTGTAACGCTATGATCCAATACCCTTTGACAAATAACTCGGTAGTAGGTTGTCTAAAGAATTGTGTTTATCTACGCCAAAAAATAATGGGATGATAAACACAATTACCCATAATAAAGAGAACACTGACGGTTCTTAATGTATTATGAACAACCCAAAATTCTTTCTGACCACGGATTGTGTGTGACTGTATTACTATGTTGGGAGGTGATGCCCGCAATGGAAATCTTTACACGAGCTCTGTACAAATATCACCCGCTGTATCGTCTCCAATACAATTAGTCCGAATTCAGATTTCTTTTAATTTTATCACATACATGAAATGACAATGGTAACATAATACATATATTTCTACCACAGGTACTTGTGGACAGGACAACCCCCCCCCCCCCCCCCCCCCCCCGCCGCAATTCAACCCCGAGGTTTGTTGGACTTTCTTTTCACAAATTATATTTATTACACTTATTCATCATGTATACCATAGGAAAAAATCGTGAAAACCCCAAAATAATCGTTCCACACAAAAATACCCCACTATACATTATAAGAGAGAAAGGTATGCCACTCCGGTTTGTTTACGTTGTACCCCCACTGGTCTTTCTGGGTTTAAAAACATGTATTTATTCTATTTTAACTTAAAATGTCGGTTCACACTGTCTCTACATATATTTCAGTCTTAGCTCATGCTATCGGATTGACTCTGCATCTCGTAAGAATCCCACAATTAATCCTTAAACAGCATTGAAGCCAGTGCGTTGAAAATTCCTTAGGTAAACGCAACGGAAGTACACCAAGAATGTATCACTTATTACGATAACGTCCGAGAGAGTTTTGGCTTTGACGTAATAATCTCTCTCGGGTTTTATCATAATACGTAATATATTCTCCATGCACTTCCGTTGCGTTTACCTAAGGAATTTTCAACGCACTGACTACAATGCTGTTTAAGGATTAATTGTGGGATTCTTACGAGATGCAGAGTCAATCCGATAGCATGAACTAAGACAGAAATATATGTAGAGACAGTGTGAACCGACATTTTAGGTTGAAATAAAATAGATACATGTTTTTAAACCCAGAAAGACCAGTGGGGGTACAACGTAAACAAACCGGAGTGGCATACCTTTCTCTCTTATAATGTATAGTGGGGTATTTTTGTGTGGAACGATTATTTTGGGGGTTTCACGATTTTTTCCTATGGTACACATGATGAATAAGTGTAATAAATATAATTTGTGAAAAAAATGTCCAACAAACATCGGGGTTGAATTGCTGGGGGGGGGGGGGGGGGGTCCTGTGTCCACAAGTACCTGTGATTTCTACAATAGAAAAATGGCAAGTGTAAACTAGTAATTAGCCAGAAAACGACATCTAAATCGAAGTTTCCAGTCCAGTGCTAACTAACCCAACAACAAGACAGAGGAGTGATTTCTCAATAAATTAACAAATGAAAATCAGTACTAAAAACAACTAATACATAACTTGATTGATGTATAAAAATAATCAGGTATCACAGTCTAGTCAGTTAAGCGTTCAAACTACATTTCAATTTTTTCCGTTTGAACTCAGTTCTAAATATTTTACACGTTTCTGTTCGTCCAGGACCCGTTGGATTCCAGCTTGTACTGACGAGGTCGGCCATCTTTGAACACTGTTTTAAGGGGTTCTGGGTGATCCCTAATCTGAACCAATGCTGCTCTGACTGCCTCCTCAAAGTGTGCTGGCTCCTGTTCAGGGGACGTGGAGAGATGCTAGAAAAATTAATCAGGGAAGTGTTTTATCTTGTAACAAATAACATCCTCACATGTCTTAAAGTAGCAAACTGCATTATTAAAGTTCCAGAAATAATGACAATGAATATTTATGGTAGTTGAAAAGAAAATTTTGAAAAATGTCAATGTACAGTTGTTAATATTTAGGGTTAGAATCCAGCATGAAGACCTGGTTCCGGAGCCCAAAAAACTTAAGACAAGCACATATTTAATCTTAGCCTCATTTTAATTGTGAAAAGTGACACTGAGATCAAAAGTGAGTTCATCCGAGTTTCATGGTCTCGGAGCCCGTTCATTATATTACATGTAAGTCAAAAACAAACACGGTGATTGATCTAATAAAAAAAAAAGAAACTTGTAAAAGATGTGAAAAATTTTCAAATGTATATTTAGTGTAACGCCGACACAATGGAAATTTAATCAAATAAGATATACTTCAATGTCTTTTATTTCAAACGTGTTGCAAAATGCATTTCACTGAAATCTCTATTTTTACGATTTCTTGGACCTTTAAAACTGAGGGACAGATGAGAACTGCTTCCTGTCTCTGACGCTCTTGTATTTAACAATTCGTGTTCATTAGAGTCTAAGTGCTTTGATGAAAGTTTGCTCAAATTCTTAGTTGGTGGTCTTCTGTGCAGAATTCGGCATGTTTTATCCTTCGTGTACTTTTGAAATGTTCCCAAGCGGATAGGAATTTATCCCACTGTTGATTCATTGCAGAATGGAATAAATACCCTTCATTTACATTTTATCTTGCAAATCGTTTATGTCCAATTCTCGTACGGTTGAGCGATTTTAGAATAACAGCTATTCATATTTTTGTCCCCAACAGAGGTATGAAATAATATTCTGGATATTCCTATCAGTGAGAAATTCTATCAGTGAGAATTCCTGACGGTGATTCAGATCATCTGTCATGCTTTAGTTTCTAGATAACACTCTCCCCTAAAGAATTCGGATATGGCCATGTAGTTCACTATCGCATCAGCGTGCCATCGAAGTTTGGGTTGATGATGCGATAAAGCGATGATGACGACGCAATGATGCGATGACGATGAAGCGAAAATTCAATGACGACGATACAATGGAGCGATAGCACACGACGCTACGATACGATGCCGATGACGCGATGGAGATGACACGATGACGATGAAGCGATTTTTGCTATCGCTCTATACTCTATAGACCCACTGTTATTACATTATAGCGCCAAAGTATCATCGACATCACGCTATCGCATGTCCCGTCATTGTCATCGCGGGATCGTCACCACACCATCGTGTCATCGCGCCAGGAGTCGATGTGCGATAGTGAACTACGGGATCCTATCTGGATTCCATACTTCCCACAATTTCAACGAAAAACTTTATAACTGAATTTCATTGAAAAATATGAATACTGCTAGTACTGTAAACGTGGATATTTTTAAGGGGGAATTTCTGCGATCTCCATGTAACGAAGCTTTTGTATTGGGGAGGGGGGCTATGACTGTGAAAGTTAAAGTATTCACAAAATGTGCTGTTTGTAGTTTATTACCAAACTTTTCAAAATTTTTTGAATTTTTAAAATTTTTAACTTATCGCAAAATTTGCAAAAATTTCCCCATCTCATACATTTCCAAGTTTACAGTACATGTAATTTTATGTCAAAATGACAGGATTCCTAGTAAAGTGTAAGCCAAATACTTGACAGACTAAAAACAAAATATAGAGTCAAATGTGGTGAAAGAATTTTCATTTTAATGGGTAAAAAAATGGCTCATCATTCAGTAACTTTTTTGAGAATAGTTTCTATTTCCCTTTATAATCTGTAAAATTGGGATACATGGTCAGATTTTTCACAAGATTGCTCATCTTGGTTATACAGAATGCACATTATAAACTAGTAGTCTTGGAAATGGTAAATTCTAGGAATTTGATTTGTAATATTAAAAGGCATTGGATAAAGCTGCAAAAAGTACAAATAATACAAGTGAATTTTTGACAATCTTATGTGTTATTGTAGGACACTACATGCAAAAATTGCAAAAAAGCATGTTCAAGTAAAGTAACAATACTGGGGTCAGAAAAGTTCAAGTAAAGAAGTATTTATTGGTATTAGAACAATTCAAGTGAAGCAGATATCTTCAAATTAGGTTATAATATTGTGACCTCAGCAGTTCTAGTGCAGAGAGGTACAAGAGTGTGATAACAATGTGTCAAAGAAGAAGCAATATTGTGATTAGAACAGTTAAAGTAGCTTAAACAAACAACAGCTTAAATGGAATCAAGCACCAATACTGTAGTAAGAACTTCTCAAGTAGCAATAATGTGTTTAAAACAGTTAAAATAGCAATAATACAGTTCAAGTAGCTAAAGTGTGGGACAGTTCTGGTAGCAAAAGTGTGATTGGAACAGTTCCAGTACATGCAGTAACAAAGTGTGATTGGAATAGTTCCAGTAGCAAAAGTGTGATTGGAATAGTTCCAGTAGCAAAAGTGTGATTGGAATAGTTCCAGTAGCAAAAGTGTCATTGGAATAGTTCCAGTTGCAAAAGTGTCATTGGAATAGTTCACATAGCAAAAGTATGATTGGAATAGTTCACATAGCAAAAGTGTGATTGAAATAGTTCACATAGCAAAAGTGTGATTGGAATAGTTCCAGTAGCAAAAGTGTGATTGGAACAATTCCATTAGCGAAAGTGTGACTGAAATAGTTCACATAGCAAAAATGTGATTGAAACAGTTCACATAGCAAAAGTGTGATTGGAATAGTTCACATAGCAAAAGTGTGATTGGAATAGTTCACATAGCAAAAGTGTGATTGGAATAGTTCCAGTAGCAAAAGTGCGATTGGAACAATTCCATTAGCAAAAGTGTGACTGAAATAGTTCACATAGCAAAAATGTGATTGGAATAGTTCACATAGCAAAAGTGTGATTGGAATAGTTCACATAGCAAAAGTGTGATTGGAATAGTTCACAAAGCAGAAGTATGATTGGAACAGCTCACAAAGCAAAAGTGTGATTGAAATAGTACACAGAGCAAAAGTGTGATTGGAACAGTTCACATAGCAAAAGTGTAATTGGAACAGTTCACATAGCAAAAGTGTGATTGAAATAGTTCACATAGCAAAAGTGTGATTAAAATAGTTCACATTGCAAAAGTGTGATTGGAATAGTTCACATAGCAAAAGTGTGATTGGAATAGTTCACAAAGTAAAAGTGTGATTGGAACAGTTCCATTAGCAAAAGTGTGATTGAAATAGTTCACATAGCAAAAGTGTGATTGGAATAGTTCACACTGCAAAAGTGTGATTGGAATAGTTCAAGTAGCGAAAGTGTGATTGCAGCAGTTTAAGAAGCAAAAGTGTGATTGAAGCAGTTTATGTAGCAAAAGTCTGCTTGGAACAATTCGAGTACTAAAAGTTTGATGTGGAACAGTTCAAGTAAAGAAAAATTTTTTGGAACAGTTCAAGTTACACAACTGTGCTTGGAACAGTTTGTTTTAAGTAGAATAAATGTGATTGGTAAAGTTCAAGTAGCAAAAGTGTTTCTTGAACAGTTGAAGTACATATTATACATTTTCAAAATGATTAAAATACAAACCTCTCGTATGAACTGATCTGGAAGTCGACACAGAAGGTCAATCTCATCCATAGTACTGTAGTTAAATGGACCAATGGACAAAAGACCTTTTTTGTGGTCATAAATGTTGATAATCTGAAACATATAACATTGAGAAATAATGTCTGGACGAAATACTGTACCATAAAACAAGAAGCCTATAGGCCACATACATGTATAACTCGACTGAGACACATTGCAAAATTTGCAAAACAGAATATGTATAAAGAAGATTTTTAAATAACCCAATGCTATTTTCAATCCTTATTTGTCATCTCTTCTTGAAAGTGGTATGGACTTCATCTTATATATTACTCCCTCCCCCCCCCCCCCAAAAAAAAAAAAACCCACCTCACTCCTTTGTACCAAGTTTGCTTGGAAATGAGTCAGTGGTTTTAGAGAAGAATTCAATGCCAGCAATCTTTGATAAAAATTCTTTGGCTCAGGTGAACTAAACTTATCTTTCACTTATAATACATTACGGATTTTTTTTCAACTACTGACTTTATTTCATCTACCAATATTTGAAATTGCATGTTGTAAACCTCTTTATCAAAACTATAATCTGACCTCTTCACTTCCTGTGAAATGACGAGCTGATCTGATTGGTTGATCTGGTCCCCTATCTAAAAACGTGGCTTTCTGGATTTCTCCACTGTTCAGGTGTATCACTAAATAAAACCAAGAAATGAAGCAAATTTAATAATTCCTACTTACCTTAATTCTACAAGGAAAATCCACTCTCTATGTTCTCTTTTTTTTAGAAAGTGGTTGTATGGTATATAGTTTATGATCATAATTTAGATTTTATTTAATAAAGTGATAGTGAAATGTTTGTAATCTGTTTTACTTTAAAATGTTATTGCATTGTAATCAAGTACTAACCTAGACCATAAATAACAGGGAAATTAGTAGCATTCTTCTTTGTATTATTTATATCTGTAATATAAATATTTTATGAATATGTGTATGCATCAGTACAATAAAGCTTACTATACCAGAAATTCTCACTGAGTATAAAAGGTATAGTTTATTGAACCTGAGTCAACATAAACATTTTTAGATTCTGACGTAACTGTTCCATCTTTCTAGTGGTTAATGCACTAATGCTTGATGCATTTAAACAGAGTTAAAGTTTCGATTGCGACATCAAAATAGAATGACAAAAAAAAAACAATATGTGTTTGTGAAACACTGATGCCCCTGTTAGCAGCTTACGGCGAAGGTTAAAGTTTCTCAAATGCAAGTCAAAATCCAGGCCAAAAGATAAAAAATGTTTAATTTGAAAGCCCTAGCTGCAACTGTTCAAAAGTTATGGCGAAGGTTAAAGTTTTTTAAAAGTAAGCAAAACATCAAGGTCAAGGTCAAAGTTGTTGGTATCCAAAGGAAGGTCTTGTCACAAGGATTACATACGTAAAGTATGAAAGTCCTAGCACCAACCATTCAAAAGTTATGGCCAAGGTTAAAGTTTTTCGAAAGTTGGTCAAACTCCTATGTCAAGGTCAAAGGGTCAAAGTGGTTGGTATCCAAAGGAAGGTCCTGTCACGAGGATTACATATGTGAAGTACGAAAGCCCTAGCACCAATCATTCAAGAAATATGGCCAAGGTTAAAGTTTTTCGAAAGTAGGTCAAACTCCTATGTCAAGGTCAAAGGGTCAAAGTGGTTGGTATTCAAAGGAAGGAGATGTCACAAGGATTACATATGTGAAGTATGAAAGCCCTAGCATCAACCATTCAAAAGTTATGACCTAGGTTAAAGTTTTTCAAAAGTAGGTCAAACTCCTAGGTCAAGGTCAAAGGGTCAAAGAGGTTGATATCCAGAGGAAGGTCTTGTGAGAAGGAATACACATGTGAAATTTGAAACCCCAAGCACCAACTGTTCAAAAGTTACGGCCAAGGTTAAAGTTTTTCAAAAGTAGGTCAAACTCCAAGGTCAAGGTCAAAAGGTCAAAGTTGTTGGTATCCAAAGGAAGGCCTTGTCACAAAAAAAACACATGTGAAGTTTGAAACCCCAAGCACCAACTGTTCAGAAGTTATGGCCAAGGTTAATGTCTCATAAAATTTTGCAAAAGTGGGTCAAACTCCAAGGTCAAGGTCAAAAGGTCAAATATGATGGTACCCAAAGAAAGGTCTTGTCACAAGGAATGCACATGTGAAATATGAAAGTCATAGCTCCAACCAATCAAAAGTTATGGACAAGGTTAAAGTTGACAACAGACAAACAGACAAACAGATAGACAGGACAAAAACAATATACCCCCGGGATCTTTCGATCCGGGGGCATAAAAAAATAAGAAAATCAAATACTTGACACAAATTGCAATATTTTTTATATAATGATGTATATTTATATAGTAGGGATACAAATAAACAATTTCAGTCATGAAATGAAGAAATATAACCAGCTTCCTCTAAAGTACTCTAACATACTCAGCATAGTGGTATCCCATTTACCTGTTATACAGGCTGTCTGTAAATGGATTTCTTCTGGTAAATTATTAAATGCAGCTGAAAATAAGAGAAATGGTTGCTTCAATTTTTGCCACAATGATACATCATTAACATTTATTTATAGTTCTGTAAATTGTTAATTTCATTTTTTAATAAATCAAAACTTTCTACAAACAGAAGTTCAGGATTTTAATAAAGAAGTTTTGGTTTGCATTTAAAATAAATTGAAGAGTTATACATGGATTTTCAAATTAAAACTTAAAATATACAACTGTGTGTCTGTATTCTTTATTTGTATTTATTTGAGACAGACTGATTACGTATTCTTACCAATACCTAAGCTTTCCTGGTCAAAAATTGGCTAAGGCGCTACATGTAGGTTGGCAGTTTATGCATAATGACCCTGACTAGTTAATTAATTGTCACCTGATGTTCTATGTCAAACTTTACTATAAAGCAGAGACTTAATGCTTTCATTACCCGTAAGAAAGTGCCTTATTGGAAAACAGGCTTTGTGTAAAATTTCCATGTTCTTGAATTTTACAGAAAACTTGTGTATTTTAGTAAATTTAACAAAGAATTAAAATATAAGCACATCCCTGAATATAGGCTGTTTTGATAGAAATTGTTAGGAAATGTTATTAGTGACACAATTAATGACATTATGATACTTTGACCAACAAGAAAATTATGTTGCTTTCAATACATATGTAGTCACCATGGGTCTAAATGATATTTAAAGCACTGGCCAGTAAAATTAAACCGTTTTCGTTTTTCAGAAATAAGGACTTCAGTGAACTTTGTTCTTTGTTCCAATAATACAAAATGAAAATAACTCAAGGTATCTGAAATCTTTACATCTTCTTTTGCCATGTATCATAGATTTAAAATTCACTGAAATTCTCATTATTTCTGGATAGCAAATAAATCAATGTGTAGAAATGTATGCAGGAAGTTTTATATACTAATACATGTAATTAATCATAAGACTTACTCAAAAGTTTGATTGACAGCTCCTCTGACATTCCCTTATCATCTCTGAACCCTCCTGCTAAATGGAGCTCTATCCTGAGAAAATACATCAAATTAATGAATGTTATTGCACGTGCAGCTGATGCAGTGTAGATAAAGGTATGCACTTATAGTTCTCTGGGTTATCTAAGCATGCTAGAGAGGCAATCTCTATTAAAATCTTTCATCATGTTGAATTTTACTAAATTATAAACACAGCACTGTAAATATTCCCGCAAGTTCTCCTCATTTACACCTGACATCAGAATATGTTAACATTTACATCTGACATCAGAGTATGTTCACATTTACACCTGACATCAGAGTATGTTCACATTTACATCTGACATCAATGTATGGTAATATTTACACTGACATCAGAGTATGGTAACATTTACACCTGACATCAATGTATGGTAATATTTACACCTGACATCAAAGTTTTGTAATATTTACACCTGACATCAGAGTATGTTAACATTTACACCTGACATCAGAATATGTTCACATTTACACCTGATGTGAGAGTATGGTAACATTTACACCTGACATCAGAGTATGGTAACATTTACACCTGACATCAGAGTATGGTAATATTTACCCTGACATCAGAGTATATTAACATTTACACCTGACATCAGAGTATGGTAATATTTACATCTGACATCAGAGTACGGTAACATTTACACCTGATATCAGAGTTTGGTAATATTTACACCTGACATCAGTGTATGTTAACATTTACACCTGACATCAGAGTATATTAACATTTACGTCTGACATCAGAGTATATTAACATTTACACCTGACATCAGAGTATGGTAACATTCATATGTAAACTGGGTATGATATGATTCCTCAATCCCAACAAGCAAAACATTTCTAGCTTAAAAAAAATAAATACTGCAACTAATTTTCCTTGAATGAAATATGATACCCATGAGCCACAGTGCTTACCTGAGCACATTGTTCTCACTCTGCCAGAGGAAAGTATTGATACCCTCTCTTTTGGTGACATATATTAATGATTGCATACATGAATTAAATTTACAAGTAATAGGCTTGAATTTCAGGAAAATTAATAAATCTTCTTCTCCAGAAAAAAACTTACTGAGAGTTTATTCATTAAATTTGACTATATCATACCCTGTTGTTAAAAAAAACTGTATAAAAATATTTTACAAAATTTTCAAATGCAAAACTAATTGTGTCCACATCCTATGGAGATAATTTGAACAATCATGTACATTACATAAAGAAGATTCCACAAAACTGTAAATAAAAGTTAAAATTGTTGTGAGGAAAGATAAGTTAATTGAAACATGGAGTAATTTTTGTAGAAATATCCTCATTATTCAGGTGTCCTAATCTTATTAACTCTAACAGATCCCCCAAAACTAGGTATATTATTATATAAAAACATAAAAAAACTTTATTCTGAAAAAAAATCACTTGAACCCCTGGTTCAGGAAAACTAAAAACAAAATTGATCAAAGGGTGATGGTAAGATGACATCAAGGGAAGAGGAAATAAAGCATTTTGTGTGTGTGTGGGGGGGGGGGGGGGGGGTCCTCCAAGACCAGCATGTAAGCATTGAATGTTTGGCATATCCCTAGCTTTATTCAGTTTCCACATGACTTTTATGAAAATGTGAGACTTTATTGACAAATAATCTAAAATGAAGAAAAGCTAACAGCCAGAGACACCCATCAGCCATTTCAAAGAGCCATGGAAACTTAAGCCAGAGTACCTAGACCAGATGAAAAGCCACTTCTATTGGGAAAGAAACCATTTATAACTTACCGTCCTTCACTGTAAACATTAAACATACCCATAAACTGTCATTACAGAATGTATTGCATCACTGTAAACATTAAAACATTCCCTTAAACTGTGATTACAGAATGTATTGCATACTGTTACTGAATGGAATGTAATACCTGTTGTTACAAAATGAAAAAAGAATGTAGTGCATGTTGTTTCAGAATGTAATGTAAGTGGATACATAGTGGAATGTTTGTTACAGAATATTATGTTTTCTTGTGACAATGTAATGCATATTGTTACAGAAAGTACTGTATGTTCTTGCAGAAAGTTATTGTGTTGATACAGAATTTAATGTATATTGTTATATAATCTAATGTCCATTATGACAAATGTAATGTGTATTTGTTACATAATGAAATATATGTTGATTAAGCATGTAATGTTTGTTTGCTGTGACAGAAGTAACTTGTGTTGTTACACTGAATGTAATGTATTTTGTGACAGAATGTACTGTATGTTGGTATAGAATGTAATTTGTGTTGTTACAGAATGTAATGTGTGTCATATATGTTGATACAGAATGTAATGTTATGAAAGTTGTGATTATATATTGAATAGAATTACTTTCAAAACAATGGAATTTAATGCCCTTGAAATCTTTATAGATGACAATTCAACAAAATTTTATCCCCACGAGTGCTTCTACAGTATATGTTGTTAAGAATGTAATGGATGTGAGTTATCTAGTGTTTTTACTGTAAAACATAGATATAGCAGAGATCATGTGACTCTTATATTAATTTTACACAAGTTGGTTGACTCAAGAGTTTTGATTGGTTGATTCTTAGTGGTCTTTTTTTTTTATACATGTTCAAACTATGCTAAGTTTACAGTTCTAACTGATTGATCCTCAGCAATCATATTTTAATAATGACTGAAATGAATGCCTTACTAAAATCAACAAGATGTGTTTGTGAAACACTGATGCCCCCGTATGACAGCTTATGGTGAAGGTTAAAGTTTCTCAAATGCAAGTCAAAATCCAGGCCAAAAGATAAAAAATGTTTAATTTGAAAGCCCTAGCTGCAACTATTCAAAAGTTATGGCGAAGGTTAAAGTTTTTTAAAAGTAAGTAAAACATCAAGGTCAAGGTCAAAGTTGTTGGTATCCAAAGGAAGGTCTTGTCACAAGGATTACATACGTAAAGTATGAAAGCCCTAGAACCAAACATTCAAAAGTTATGGCCAAGGTTAAAGTTTTTCGAAAGTAGGTCAAACTCCTATGTCAAGGTCAAAGGGTCAAAGTGGTTGGTATCCTAAGGAAGGTCTTTTCACAAAGATTACATATGTGAAGTATGAAAGCCCTAGCACCAACCATTCAAAAATTATGGCCAAGGTTAAAGTTTTTCGAAAGTAGGTCAAACTCCTAGTTCAAGGTCAAAGGGTCAAAGTGGTTGGTATCCAAAGGAAGGTGATGTCACAGGGGTTACATATGTAAAGTATGAAAGTCCTAGCACCAACCATTCAAAAGTTATGGCCAAGGTTAAAGTTTTTCGAAAGTAGGTCAAACTCCTATGTCAAGGTCAAAGGGTCAAAGTGGTTGGTATCCAAAGGAAGGTGATGTCACAAGGATTACATATGTGAAGTAGGAAAGCCCTAGCTCCAACCGTTTAAAAGTTATGGCCAAGGTTAAAGTTTTTCAAAAGTAGGTCAAACTCCTAGGTCAAGGTCAAAGGGTCAAAGAGGTTGATATCCAGAGGAAGGTCTTGTCACAAGGAATACACATGTGAAGTTTGAAACCCCAAGCACCAACTGTTCAAAAGTTATGGCCAAGGTTAAAGTTTTTCAAAAGTAGGTCAAACTCCAAGGTCAAGGTGAAAAGGTCAAAGTTGTTGGTATCCAAAGGAAGGCCTTGTCACAAAGAATACACATGTGAAGTTTGAAACCCCAAGCACCAACTGTTCAGAAGTTATGGCCAAGGTTAAAGTCTCATAAAATTTTGCAAAAGTGGGTCAAACTCCAAGGTCAAGGTCAAAAGGTCAAATATGGTGGTACCCAAAGAAAGGTCTTGTCAACAAGGAATTCATATGTGAAATATGAAAGTCATAGCTCCAACCAATCAAAAGTTATGGGCAAGGTTAAAGTTGACAACAGATAAACAGACAAACAGATAAACAGACAAACAGATAAACAGACAAACAGACAGACAGGACAAAAACAATATACCCACAGGATCTTTCGATCCAGGGGCATAAAAATATATATTGCCTTTATTGTTACTGAATTGCCTTAAATCAGAGGCTCCTTTACTGTCTTGTAGAGGTACATATATAAATCATTGTTGCATTACATGTATATATAGTATCTGCATGTGTGTGTGCTATCAACATATTCATAGACATGTACAGTGTATATGTAAAATTGAAGCATCAGAAATGTAAAAGTGTCATGATTTGTATAATATTCAAATAAAAATTACGTACCGGTAAATACAAGACAAGAAAATAATTCATTTTAAAGAAATTTCCTTTCACACAGTTCGACCTAAGCCAATTTGTATCAAATATGTATAATCTGGGAAAAATAGTAAATCTCCATCTACATTCTATAGGAGTTATCTCTCTTGGTTTCTTGAACAGCCACTAGATGGAACTTATATTAAGCAAAATTTGACAATTAATGCTTCTGTCTGAGACTGATTAGCACTTACCTGCCTGGTAACTTATCTTTTGATAATTCTTTCACTAGTCCCAGCATCTTCTTACATCCAGTCTCAATTCCACAGGAGTCAAAGTGACACAAACACACAGCTCCTGACCCTGTGATGAAATACATCATAACAGACAGGCATGGCATCTTTGCTAGCCAAGGGTGACTATCAACTCCCCACCCTTGGCTAGCAAAGAAGACTGGCAATAAGAATATGTAAGGAGAGAATACCATATTCTTCCTATTAAAGTGCCCCTGCCCCTGTAAACACACCCCTCCCCATTATTTTTCATTCTTATATGTTTTATTCATACTTGTATTTCTGAGAACAGCGATGTGACAAGTTATATCTTATATGTTTTATATAAGAGAAATATTGAGAAAGCTAGTACCTGTATGTCGGAGAATAGCGATGTTACAAGTTATATTGTATATGTTTTATTGGTACCTGTATGTCGGAGAATAGCGATGTTACAAGTTATATTGTATATGTTTTATTGGTACCTGTATGCCCGAGAATAGCGATGTGACAAGTTATATTGTATATGTTTTACTGGTACCTGTATGCCGGAGAATAGCGATGTGACAAGTTGTGGCATCCTCTGTTCCCATCATCTGTATCATTTCTATAAAAATTTTCAAACATAAAACACACACCTTATAACAGCAATTCAAAGAAAATCATCCTGTCATATGCAAAAGGCAAATAAATGAAAGCTCTTTTAAGTTATTCATCATAAATGATGCTACACTCTCATTTCAGTTACTTATAAATGATAATGAATAACCACTTTGTTATTTATGGTATATGAAATCTGTTGTTTTATCTTTTAAAAAGCTGTATCCAATGTGGTATTACACAAATCTTTTATGAGATCTACACAGGAACATGTTGTAAAGTAATAACCATATACATTGTACTGCTAGTCAAGATATCACTATCTAGTTTTATACTGTATGTGTATTGTACGTATGCATGTAACCTGGTGAAACTTGAGTTCCATGGATACAAATTTTACAACAGAAGAGTCATAAATTTTAAAACTGCTGTTCATGGATCAAATTCTCTCCTTTGATTTGTAAACTTGTTAAAGACTTAAGGAATCGCTAAATGAAAATGCCTTTGGATGCTTACCATCATCTGGTGTGGTGGCAGCCATCTCTCTCTGTCCCACGTACAGAAGTCCTATTGGAACAATGGATCGACATTTTTGTTCCAGGAGATTCTTAGAAGTTTCCTGTAAAAATAAGAACAGCTCTATGACAAGGAAAGTTTAAGCACTCTTGTCCATGAGTTTCCCTCAAGTTCATTATGTTAAATCTGATTAACTAATGGCCCCGAAAGGGGGAGGGGTGAATAATTTGAGAAAAAAAAATTATTCACACAACCTCAGAAAAACGTGGCTATTTTTGAGGGGAAAATTTTTGGAAGGTTTCCTTCCTATGATACTCAAATCTGGACTACTATACATCAATTGAACAAAGTGAAATCGACATTAATACCTTTGAGTAAGTTTGTCTTTTCTGTTCAGAGTTAGAGTGAAAACTGGAGGAGTACAAAAAGCAATTATTCTACTTTAAGTTACCATTGAAAAACCATTGATTGAAATTAAAAATGATTTAACAGAATTGGGTCTCTTGAAGAAAGTCAAACCGCTCAAAGTTTTGTTGAAATCATGCAATAAGAGACCCATGGCCTACAACACTCACCTGTGTCATCATTCTCATTCACAGATTAATATCTACGGTAAATAACTGAAACTTCTTTTTGCAATTGTATATTATGTTAAGGCTTAAAGTCAACATAACATATTGTGGGCCTTAATCTTCTGAGTGTGAACATATATTGTCCCCCAATTGTGGCCCCAATATAGTCCCTGAGCATGCTTTGAAAGAAACTTGAATCTACAATAAAATGAATTGAATAAAGGAGAATGCTTGCATATCAATATGACTAAGTGTGGACATGCTGCTATTTAAAAGATGAACATGATTTGAGAAAAAAATATTGATACACTTGACTATAATCATTATAAGGAAGCATTCACATAAGCTTTATCATTTCTAGGGCCATCATTCTTGAGAAGATAAATTTTTAATTGACACCACATTTTTGTTACTTCTCAATTATTTCCCTTCAACTTTGGTTGAAATTTGCCAAACGGTTCTGGAGAAAAAGTTGAAAATGTGAAAAGTTTACAAATATGACATACTTAAGACAACAGACACATGGCTAATACAGTACTTGACACACAACATACAGGCGAATGCCAGACAGCTCACGTCAACCTTTGGCTGGGGTGAATTGAAAACTGTTAGAGGAGCAGCATATTGACATTTCTGTAAGATTATTTTGTGCTTTGTATCCAGGAAATGACAATTAGCAAAATCAAAAATCAATAGGCAGAATTATAAATCTTAATGCAGTCTACATGTTAACCGAGCTTTACTTATTAATATCGTAGGAAGAATAGCATTTTGAATGAATTTTTAGATATAATTCTAATATTTAGTAATCACTGCCTCTCTTTAAAGAAAACTTAAGTTTTCAAGTGAAAGTAGTTGCCTTGTGACAAAAATTGTAGGAGGAGTTTTACTTTGAAAGAATTCCACAGATAAATATGTTGTACTGTATACAGGGTTATTTTTACCTTGTCAATTTGCAAATGATTTTGCTCCATTTTAATTCGCCCAGACACAGTTGTATTAATTCATATTATAAATGGCTTAACAGAAGTCATTTGGTGGGAAATATTCTTAGAATTCTTTGTGAAGAATCAAAATCCAAAAACATTTAATCTTTAAAATGTTTATTTTGAATGTGTGTTTTTATGTAAGTGTTGACAGATCTACAAAATCATTTGACATTCACATTTATTGATAAAAACTTAAATGCTGTAGAACTTCACAACTTCTCGCTGTGAATACTATTGTTGTGAATCGCAGCTTCAATCAAAGCAATCCATAGGGATCAGCGTCACAATTACCCCAAGCATGAGCATGAAAAGCTGTAGATTGAGATCAGAATAATGGCACCTCCCTTACAACTAAACCACTAAAGAAGTTAAAAGGATTATTTCAGGGTCAACATAGAATGAAATTTATCAGAACTTGCCCAATTGAGGTGTGTATAGCCAACAAAGATAAAAAGTCCTCCCCAATTCATGGGAAAAGACTAAAATGTCCCAATATCACCCTTAATCATTGTAACCCGGTCAGATTTAAAATGCAATGATAATGTTGTTAAATAAGGTCTTAACTTTGTAAATAACATTGATGCAATATACAAAACTGATTAATGCTTTTATATGTAATCCTATGGTAAACCACATATGCGATTGTTCAGAATCCCTTTTAATGCACATAACTGCATTATAATTTCTAGGAGAAAATTGTACCATGAATAGATTAATTTGAATGAAAATTTTTCAGGAGTGTAGTGCACTAAGAAATATTGAGGTGTGAAATTATATAATTTAATGCTGTATAAGATATGAAACTCTGTTTTTCTTAAATATTTACACCCCCACAATACTGCACACTATTAAAAGAATGTACCATTTCCTGATTCAATGAAAAATAAGCATATTGTCAAGGTGATATAATGTGATATTAAAAGAAAGTTCCAAAATAACAAGAGGTAAAAGAACATGTTCATTATATTATATAATAACTATGAAATATAACAATTTTTTTGTTTGATAAAATTCCCCCCAAAATATACATGTATTACATGCTGGATCCCTGTTGACAAACTGCTTTTAGGACTTCACATGCAATAAATTGCACAGGTATGTAAACAAATTTCCACTATACTTTACGGAAAGTTATTAAATTAAATTATGTTATTAAATCTGCATGCAACTTTTTCCTTTAATGCTTAAAGATGCACCCTTCTTAAAACATTCAGTTGAAACAAACATATCCAGCATTAGTCACTAACCTTATAATGGGGGTAGCGTTCCAGGAATTCATCAATGGATTTGGGAGGTACCCCCATATGTTTGCCTTCAACCATCAAAGGCATGGCAGATCCTTATGGTAGTTCAGAGCATTAACTCACTCAAATCCTCGAGCTCTTCAATGTTTATCTGCTGGTTTGTGCTTTAAATGTCTGTATGGCCTAATAATGGTATTAATTTAAAACATTTTAATTCATAACAATCTGGTGTAAATGGCCCAGTAGTTTTAAAAGCTTTATTTTTAACTTGTTCAGTCAACAATCAACATCTATTACAATAAAAACAAGAAACTATTTAGGTAAACCGAGAAATTTAGGATGCAGGAATCAAGTCAAAACAAGTGCAGGTCAAATCAGAAAGAGTGAGATCTGCACTGAATGAGTTAGCTCAAATTTTTGTAACCTTGAAATGACAAAAGATCAATAAAATTTGTCAGCATAAAAATTTTAGGAGCAGATCAATAGCTTACCTAAATATTTTATCAAAGCATTTTTTTTAATTCTCTAAACTGGTGAAATCTAATGCCTTGTAAGAAAGTCAAAACAACACAAAAATTAAATACTTACAGTCAGACAATACGTTTTCACTTGACAAATTGCCAGATTATTGTAAATAGGTAGACTTTAGTTCCAGTGGTCCTGTTTTCTGATCAATTAAACGGTCCCCGGCTACCCCTATCTGTAATATAACAGAGTACACAGCTCTACACAAGGCCATAATCAACAGACTTAAGTGCAGCTCCTCTATTGACATTGTATAACAAATTACACAACGATAAGACCATGCCATTGAAGAAGTACAATTACAATTTAATAAAAATCTGCATTTGCCAAAAATTGATAATACTAAAACAAATATATCTAAACAAACAATTCTGAATCAACACAGACACAGTTGTTATATTTAATATTGCTGACTATAGCTTATATTTTCAGAGATCCAGAATTTCTATAGCCATATAAAATATTAATGCAACCAAGATTTCATTGTGTACTTTTATAGACAATGCTGTAGAATTTTCTAGCTACATGTATGAAAATTGCTTATATTTTCTAAGATCCAGAATTCCTGCAGCAAAATAAAATATTCATTGAATCAATATACCACAGTGCACTTATACTGACAAAGCTGCTTAATTTTTGTACCTATATAATAAAATTCCTAAGTATACAACAAATTATCTTCTATGCTCAATATATTTAAATGTAAGCGTGGTATATTAATGCATGAATGGACAAGTATTAAGCTAGAATACAGACTCTGTGGTGTCTGCATAAAGGTTTAAGAGTTATTCCCCTTGAATTACACAGTCTTTACAGTAAAACTAGTTTAGAATCAACATGAATATAGGGAGTTTTGATATATTTTTGGATGAAGCAAAGTTTTTTAGGATCACCAGCAAAATTCTTAACAATTCCTTGTCAAATTCTATGGGTATAATAAATTTTGATAGTAAAATTTACGGTTAGGAGCAAACTGCATGTTTTTGTGCCCTGTAGAGGTTAAAAATAATGAAATTTATATTTGTTAAGATCTCAAAACTTCAAATATTGAACCAACAATATTTTTCAAATGTATTTATATTTGAAATTCAATTTATCAGAAAGATTTAGTACTCCAAGCAAAGTTTTGTATTTTATGGTAGTCATGCATACATGAAGGAAAACATGTATATTGTGAATTCACTTTCACAAATTTGTTATTTGGATATAACAAATTATGGATATAACAAAATAAATTCATAGGTCCCCAGTTCTTCCCGATCAACGAGTTTTACATATACACTACATGTATCTTCTTCGGTGAACCACAAGGGTACATTAAATGCAAATTATGTAAACAGGTCCTCATAAATTACTTGAGGTGCATTATGCCAAAAGCTACATCAACTGACATGGTTTGGTGATCTGAGACTTCATAGTATGAGTAATAGGATTTGGAAATAATTTACTATGCATACATATGTAAAAGAATCTGACAGTGGTTAATAAACAAAGGCACCGATGAAGTCATTTCGTTTGGACCATTTTTTTTCTTTTATTCTAAGACTTCTTCCTTTTCACACTGATCTTTATTATACAACAGAAGATGAAGTTATAAGAAAAAAAAAGAAGAAAATATTTGGTTGACAGAAGGTCAATCAGACAGTGATGTCTCACGGGCAAGCTAAACTGGCCTGATCTACTTTTGGGTTGCATACTTTCACTTAGGCACATGAAAATACTGACATGATCTTGACACAATCTGACAATGCAGAGCAATATGATTTCAAAATGAGTTCACAATGACTTTTCAAATGACCTGAAGTTTCATTTTCATTTTCCAAGTTTCACAAGAAATTCTGGCATTTTATGATGCTACAGTTATAAAAAATGAGCCACAAATACAGTTGAAATAATTTTTTGGAAAAAAGGTATTTTTCAATGAAATACTGTAGATTCCTAAATATAGGCACCACTCGCGAAAGAAAATTACTCACTTTTATTTTTATGCTGCTGAAATCAATGTAAAATCCCTAGATCAACTGTCCACTTGCGAATTATTGTTTTCGCGATTTGACGTGAAAGAGCCATTTTGCGATAATAAGTACTCGTGAAAAATAAGGAATCTACAGTATATAGATTCTAGTGAAAAAAATAAAATTATGACTCACTAACATGGCCAGTATTTCATGTACATGATGTAAGTGCTTTGTATTGAAAAAATTATGATAACACAATGACATGCTCCTTCTCTCTATTCATGACATTAATGTTTACTTGACAAGAAACAGCATGAGCTAATATCAGATCCAACCTAATCTCTTGATTGAGCTATATCCACAAGCACCCAAGCTCTGTCACCATAAGCAGAAAACATGCCATGATAGTCTACGATTTTTTTTTTCTTGTCTGCTACTATTAGCATTGAACATAAAATTTGTCTTTAGGACTATTTATAAACTAGAGTTCCGAACAGTGTATTGCCTGCTTTATGGCATCACTAAAGATGTAAATATATCTAAGAGTGATCAGCTATTTACTTACTACTAGCGTTATAGTTTATTCATTAGCCTGCAAAGAAAAAAATGCATCCACAGATAGTAAGACTGCGATCTGACAATCGAATACAAATATAGTTCCCCAACCCTCAAAGCTAAAATTAATAATGAAATTGAAATAAACTGAAATAATTATTTATCATTTTATTAATTCTGAAAATCCTCCAAAAGAGACTTTGGTCTGTCTTTCATGCAAATCTACAATAGTCCATTTTGGAATACTAATCCTGATGTATTTTCAATGTATTTAATTTCAGCTTGTGTGGTAGCTGTGTATCATGCAGTTTCAAAATACAGTGTCATGAGCTTATTAACATGTGATTTTTATAAATGCTAATTATCAAAACCCCGCTTCTCAATCTTCAAAAGACATAAGTTAGCATGATTAAATCATCTGGAGTATTTTTTTTTTTGCAAAGTATGTCATGTGGACCGTAAGTCTGGTATTTTTCATACTGTTTTTTGACAAACAATGCACATGCTAAATAGCATTGACTTACCTCTTAAATGTGAAAAATAAGCTGAATATCGGCACTATGAACTATTTTGAAAAGTAGTCAAAGGTCATGTTCAAGGGTCACAAGGTCGATATTCATGGTATTTTACAATTAAGCCATGTATCAGACCTGGGGTAATGGTAATGTGTAATGGTAATGCATTGTTAACATTACATTTTTTCAAAGTAATTGGGTGTAATGGATCCATCTTTCAATTACAAGTAATTGTAATGTAATGTATTACTTTTAAAAATATGTCAGTAATGACTATTACTTTTCTATCACATTTCAATTACATTTTGTATTTTAATATCTTTTTATTACTGAATCTTAAACAAAGCAAGTCTTAAAATTAAAATCCTATATCTTACCACTTTTTTAATTGTTTATTCAATGGTGATTGATAGAGAATATACTTAATAACTGTTTTAGTAGAAAACTTCTTGACAAGACAGTTATAAAATCAATTGAAGAGATCGAGCCAGAAAAAAATATTAAAAGAAATCATTTATCAGTAGGTTTCAAAGATAGCCACAAAACAAGTGACATTAATACATGTACTTTACTGTGACTATCAATTAAGATACAGACTATATTTTTCAACTTGATTTTTTATCCTTTTCACATAGTTCATTCTGGTAAAATGGACTTGGAAAGCACAAGATCAGTAAGATCTACCGTACTTGAAGACACAAAAGGAAACTAAGGCCAAATGTAAATATTGATATTGTTCATCACTAATTTTTTGGTAGCTTTAGTCACCTCTAACTTTAAACCCTATATCTAGGTACCAGTAATTATCACCTTTGATTTTGTTATATCTTCATTCATTATGCATGCTCAGCTAATTATGAGTGCCAATTAATTAAATCATTAATACATACTTCTTTTACAATTATAAAATTATCTGTTGATTAAATATCACTTTACATAAAACATAAAGTATGAAATGTTTATCATTTATTTAAAAAAAAAAAGAGGAACTAACATTCATAGAGACTGAACGAAACTACAACATTAAAAGTGTTCTGATGCACTTTCTTTGTCAACTGTAGATAGGTAAACTACATGAACATGATAAATGAATCCAAAATCTAAATACCACTCTGACTTATAGACCCGAGGGAAAGCATATTCACCGAGCACAAAGTGTGAGAAAGTTAATTTATGGATATAAATTGTGTGGTCATAAAATTTGTGTTTTTCTCTTATAAAATGTAATGTGTAATGTAATTCATTACTTTAACAAAGTAACTGTAATTTAATTAATTACTTTTCTGAATGAGAGTAATGGTAATGGTAATTGTAATGGTAAAAATTCCAAAGTAATTGTAATTTAATTCATTACATTTCAAAGTAATTGACCCCAGGTCTGCCATGTATATATAGTGCCAACCAATACATGTGCAAAATATCAAATTCATACCTCTTACAGTTCTTGAGATATAAGGTGTGACAGATGGACACACAGACGTCAGATAAAGTGATCCCTAAGTGTCCAGCTGCTCTGCAGGTGACACAAAAAGTGCAGTTACTGGGCTTTTATAACACCCTAAATAGAACGTGTATCACGTATAACGTTGTAAATTATGTCCAATGAACCCTAACTCCATCACCAGTGCCCTCTACAATATGTCAACATATTAAATACAATTTTACTTCCAGTTAATTTTTGCCCTTTTTCTTAAACTTGTACTTAACATAAAAAATAGTTTTTAAGATTTGAAATACTATTAAAATTTATTTTAAGAAAAGTATCAACAGCAGAAAAAATAACATTGATATATTTTATGTGTAATAATGTCATGCTAACATTATATCCAACAAGTAACTTTAGGGCAAATGGACAGGGGAAATGTAGACAAAAAATAAGATATATTTAGCCATATTCAACATGGCATGCAAGGTTGAAAAGTGAAAATGAGCATGTTGATGTATATGTCAGAGATATCAATGTAATAGTGCATAAAAGAAAAGATGTTTACTATTTTACATAATATCAAGGCTCTACATTAACTTTTTTCCTACTTGTCCATTCGGACAAGTGACCAAGACATTTACTTGTCCGAACTTCAACTTCACTTGTCCGAAATTTTTTCAATAAAGATATAATACTGTCAACTTGAAAACTTGAAGTCCATTACACATGACATGTGCTTGATTGATTCGTGATGTTATTAATAAACAACAAACACATAAAACGAAATTTTATCTAGGCTTTCTCTACTGATAACAACATAAATGTTCACACGTGAACATGTCATAATCAAACCAAATCCAAACTTCCATGCCTTTTCAGTAGTATGCAATAAGTGGACTTCAATCCCGATCAAATGTGAACTCGATTAATAGCGATCTCTATCAGGATCGAAGTTTGGTTTTTATGTACAGATTCAATCTTGAAACTACCGATTAACTTTCAACACAACAGTCGTTCTTTTGATTATTTAGAGACTCCTTTACATTAAAATGCACTTGTCCAATCGGACAAGTGCCCAGCAATATTCACTTGTCCGTAATTCTTTTTCACTGGTACCGGACAAGCAGACAAGCGTTAATGTCGAGACCTGAATATATTACATGTAATTGTTCTGCAATTTGGTGCATTATAGAATTTGACTGTTATAACTTTTCATTTATAATATCTGATTGTAGATATTCAGATAGTAAAAAATGACATCACATTCACATTTGTTTATGAACAATGTGGAGTTTCTGTAAAGTGACGGAGTTAGGGTAGTGTCAGAGTAAGGGGGTTAGATGTGGTGTCCTGATAGGGCCATTTGCAAAAGTGTGACATTGTGTTAGGAATAAATGTGCTAGCACAAAGTGATGATGCGCTAGCACATTTTTCATAACACACTGTCGCACTAACAAACAAAATGCCATCACACTAAAACAACTTTACACGACATGCCATCTCGCTAACACACAATACGCCATCACACTAGCACACAAGACACTGCCACGCTAACGCAATTTTACACATTCTGCGGTTACACTAACACACAATTCATTGTGTAAAGTTGTGTTAGCATGACGGCATATTTTGTGTTCGTGCGATGGTGTATTGTGTGAAGTTTGTTAGCATGAAGGCATGTTGTGTGTTAGCGCAACAGCATGTTGTGTAAAGTTGTATTAGCGTGACGGAGTATTGTGTGTTAGCGCGAAGGCGTGTTGTGTAATCTTGGATTAGCATGACGGTGTGTTGTGTGTTAGCACGATGGCTTGTTGTAAACAAGGCACCGGCGCACTGTTACTTTACGCTAGTGCATTATCACTTGCAAAAGTGCAACAATGCATTAGTAAGAACAACATTGAGAACAAACACGTTAACAGGTTGGCACCTCACGCTAGCACGTTAATAAAAGCGCTTTTACACTTTTGCAAATGGCCCTATAGGGACCATTATTAGATGATAATAAAGCAGCTAAACAGTATCCTAGATATCCAATTTGATATAAAAAGCTTTATTTTGCTTTTTAATATAGCTTAAAAATACTGATTTTCAGATAAAAATTGTAATTTGTTTAATATTGACAAAGTTTGAGTCAAAATATGTATTTTCTTACATTCTTCACCTCAAATTCTTTGCACTTTGCATTTTGTTCAATGTAACAAACTGAAGAGTTTCAAGTCCTACTTTCACTTTCATCAATCGGGCTCGTAGTACAAAAACCGGAAATATGTAAACCCCGAAACACGTTGGGCTTCCTTTTTATGTCCCACTCCATTGGCATCGCACGCTATTGTAAGAGAAGAAGTGTTTTTCCCTCTTTTTCCTCATATTTAATCAAATCCATTGTATTTATTTAAAATTAAGCAAAATGGTTGTAATTGCTATATTAAATAAAAGAAATTCCATGTTTAAATTTCATGAATTTACTTGAAGTGAGGAACCCCCCCCCCCCTTCTTACGTTCTCTGTAAAAGATTTCAGAATTCAGATGGGTCACAATTGCCCATTTGCAAGAGCATCTCTACAACTTGAAAATCACTCTCAATCAAGAGAAAATTGCATGCATTGAGTGCGCAGAAAAAAAACCATGAACATGCAAGCAGACCCAAGTTTGTTAGATCCAATGGGGAGCAAATGGAACCCTGTAAATTGAAAAGGGGGGGGGGGGTAATAATTTCAATTTAATAAATAATTCAATCAATTATCTTGTACTATGATATTATGAATATTAATATAGAAGGTTTTCACTTTTTTTGTGACCATATATATAATCTACAAGTTTATAAATTTTATATGAGCTTTTAGTAAGGGCGAAACGATTACACATGTAAAAGGCGATGTTTCAATTAAATACGCTAAACGTTTACAAATTGAGTAAACGTTTACACGAAAGTCATTACCAATGTCTATTAAAATTAAAGATAAATACAAATAAGTTGTTTTATTTCATATTTACCAAAGAAAACAATTGTTTTCTGTTTTAATCAATACCAGAAACATGTTATTAAACAAAACTATCTAAAACCCAATACCATCTAACATATTTAGTTCCGATTTCCTAGTAGCGAATACTAACAATGTATTATGATTTTATTATACCCCACGCAACAAGTTGCGTGAGGTATAATGTTTTTGACCCGTCCGTCAGTCAGTGTGTCAGTCAGTCAGTCAGTGTGTCAGTCAGTCAGTCAGTCCGTCAGTCCTGTTTTTTTTGTCAGCACAACTCCTCATAAACCGCTGTACAGAATTTCGTCAAACTTTGCAGAGATTTAGGACACAATGTGTGGATGTGCAAATTACCAGGAAATTCCGATTCCTTTATTTTTTCTGGGAATTTCGGCACTTTTCAACTATTTTTGGCCATATCTTGAATATAGAGATGAAGTTTGTCAGCGCAACTCCTCTTAAACCACTGCACAGAATTTGGTCAAACTTTGCAGAGATTTAGGACACAATGTGTAGATGTGCATATTACCAGGAAATTCCGATTCCTTTATTTTTTCTGGGAATTTTGGCACTTTTCAACTTAGATTTTTGGCCGTATCTTGAATATAGAGATGAAGAGTTTGTCAGCGTAACACCTCTTAAACCACTGCACAGAATTTCGTCAAACTTTGCAGAGATTTAGGACACAATGTGTAGATGTGCATATTACAAGGAAATTCCAATTCCATTATTTTTCTGGGAATTTCGGCACTTTTCAACTTAGATTTTTGGCCATATCTTGAATATAGAATGAACAGTTTGTCAGCGCAACTCCTCTTAAACCACTGCACAGAATTTGGTCATACTTTGCAGATATTTAGGACATGATGTGTAGATGTGCATATTACCAGGAAATTCCAATTCCATTATTTTTCTGGGAATTTCGGCACTTTTCAACTTAGATTTTTGGCCATATCTTGAATTTAGAATGAACAGTTTGTCAGCGCAACTCCTCTTAAACCGCTGCACAGAATTTGGTCAAACTTTGCAGAGATTTAGGGCACAATGTGTAGATGTGCATATTACCAGGAAATTCTGATTCCGTTATTTTTCCGGGAATTTCGGCACTTTTCAACTAAGATTTTGGCCATATCTTGAATATAGAGATGAACAGTTTGTCAGCACAACTCCTCTTAAACCACTGCACAGAATTTGTTAAACTTTGCAGATATTTAGGACACAGTGTGTTGATGTGCATATTACCAGGAAATTACGATTCCATTATTTTTGCCTTAAGAGTTTTGCCTATTATTGAAGAAACTTTCCAGCTAGGTAATAAGGAAATCCACTGGGATCAGCTTTTGTAATGAAATTTTATGTAAAATATTTTATGACCTTAAAAGACCCCTATTGATTTTGAGATCAAATATTAATGATTTAACACACACACACTCACAAAATCTTGGATAGTTCTCCCCCCCCCCCCCCTTTCAAATTGGTGTTTTGCCTTAAATAATTTCATAAGTACAGTATATAAACAAATTCATATGACTACTTCATGGACTTACACTCATTAACAAATTGAAATCACTGAGGAATTTAAATAAGAGTTTGTCAGCATAACTCCCGCACTGAATTTCCTGAAACTTTGTAGGTATTTCAGAAATAATGTATAGATTTGTATATTACCAAGAAATTTTGATTCCATTATCTAGAAACTTCAGCCCAATTAAATTTGTAACATACAAAGATTTGAATGTCCTTATATGCTAGAAGTTTTGATGTGATGATTTTTTGCAAGTAATGCCCCTTTTGAATTATACTGCGTTTTTAAAATGCACTGTGCCATTCATTACGTGTTGTATTGTTGAGTTTTGAGGGAGCGTGGGGTATGTGAGCTTGCTCACTTTTTCTTTCATTTTCCAAGTATAAAACTTGATTCACTTTGATTAGATAAATATAATATGTTTTCACCAGTCTATGAAAAGCAGTAAGCAGATCGCAGTATACTTAATTCAGGATTTCAGGGTTCAACACTCGTTAAAATTTAGTCTCGCCATTTGGGCAACCTTGGTACTGATTTCAGGTTGCCTGAATGAATTTCAGGTCGCCCGAACAAAATATCAAAAGAAACAAAAATGTGCAATTGCTTAAAATTTGTTAAGATAACAGAGGTTGTGCTATTATAAAATGTAAACCAGGCATTTTTGGAAAATCAAAAGCTGTCTTCCAGTATATTATCAAACAAAGAAAACAAGCAACAAATATTCATAAGCAGAATCAGAATGCTAATTAGGCTTTTAAAAAATTATGTTTGTTTCATAAATAATATTCCCAATAAATCAAGGATTAGTAGGATGGGATTTTATTTATTTATTTATTATTTATTACCTGAATGGGCCGGTCGGGTTACAGGAAACAATGTTTTCAAGGCCTTATAAAGTTTATTTTAAAATATTAAACATAATTATTGAAAATTCCCAACTCGTCATTTGGGCGAGTCAGACTGAAAATCAGGTCGTCCAAAATCAATCAGGGGTGGAAATGACGAGGTGACGAGCATGAATGTCGAACCCTGGGATTTAAAGATCCATCTTTGCAAGTTTAATTTGACGATGCTTTTTCTATGTCTGATATGTAGCCAAAAAAACTATTAGAGTTGGGTATTGCATGTGAAAACCATATTGCAATATATTGCAATATTTTACTTTGAATATTGCAATATATTGCGATTTATTGTAGATTCATTATCATTAATAAATTTGAGCAGAAACTTTGAAATGCTATCAAGTTCAAAGACTTTGAGAGTTTATTATTAAGACTTAACATGCTTAAGGGGGAAAATAAAACATTGCAAGTAATTACACTTTACTTTTAGTAATCAAATAACAGGTACAATAATGAAACAAAATGAACTTTTGTGGAATATCTTCACATTGGGAAAAAAAATTAAAGCTGAAATAAATAATTGTATATAGTCTTTAAACATTTTATCTCAGTCTTTATTTGAAAATTTTATTGTGATTACAGAATAAATTAAAGAAAAATTGTGACATATTTTCCTGTGTTTTCGTGTAGGTACCCTGTAAAAATGGATTTTATATATTTTCCTTGTATTAATTTAATTTTGAAGTTTAATTAATTTTATTTTAAAGTAAGATGATTAAAATTACAACAGTGAATGAAAATCCTTTTCTCTCTCTCCCCTCTCTCTCTGAAAGTTGACTAAGTATTAAGCCCAGTCACCACTGCATTTTTTTTAAACATTGGTTCTTTAACAAGATTGAAAACGCCTGAGGAAGTTACAAGTATTATTTCAGTAGTTTCTACAATGAAGGAGGTTTTATATACTTTTATAAATATCATGAAATACTGGTATATGATTTTTATATCGCGATATATTATCGCGGTGGGTCATACCGCAATATACCGATATACCGGTAATATTGCACACCCTTACAGACTATTAATGCAATATTGGGTGACGGTATAGAAAGTGAATGAATTTTCTGCGCTTCATATTCTTTCGTCATAAAAACCAACAAATAAATAGTTATAACAACTCAGACTTACTAAAAAGTGAAAGAATAGAGTATTAAATTAGTGTTCTGTGACTCATGAGTAAGTAGCCATAAAAAATCAACACAAAATATTCTCCCATTTAAACGGTAACATTTCACTTACTGCTGTTCATTTAAACGTTTACAAAATTCTGTAAACATATCACCCTTAGCTTTTAGCACAAAAATATTTCCATATTTAAAAATTTATAAATAATTTGTTAAAAGGAGAAATCATCATTTACCATCCACCTCTCAATGGGGTGAAAATTTGCACTTCATACAGCCATAAGCTATTTTTTAGTAATAGTAAATATTATCAGGAATAGCGAATATATATATACAGTCAAACCTCGTTATGTCGAACTCGAAGGGAATGAGAAAAAACTTAGAGATATCTGAGGATTCGAGATATCGAGGGTAAAATACTTAAAGAATAAGTGGTTGGGGCATGCAAATTACTTCGACATATCCATGGTATTCGAGATATCAGTGTTCGAGATAACGAAGTTCAACTGTATATATACATATATATATATATATACATATATATATACATATATATATATATATATATATATATATATATATATATATATATATATATATATATATATAATGAGAAGTTGCAAATTTATTCTGCCATTGAGGGATGTTTTTAATCCTTCAATAGTGCAATAGAAGGATACT